CAGTGTATGAAAACAATGAGTGGAAAAAGTACTGTCAAAAAAAATGAAAAAATTTCAAAAAGAATTAAATTATTTAATGGGGTAAGTGAAATTGAATGTCATGTTAAAGATATTGAGTTGTTTATTAATCAATTTAAAACACAAATTAGAATTAAAGCAATCATTGATTGTGAAGAAGATTGGACTAAAATAAAAATTCTTGAAAATGAATGTATTGATGTTTCATCTTTAGACATTCGTTCTATTCATATTAAAAGTATAACTTATTTACTTCATTTATTTAAAACAGTTAATTCTATTTCATCAATATCATTACCACATACATTATTATTAGGATTACTTCATAAAGACCCAATAATTAATTCATATTTTGAAGAATGGGATTGTTTATGGAAAATTAAATTAACAAATGAAGTTTCTTCTTCTCAAGTTTCAACTTTATTAGGGCTAATACAAAATTTAAATAAATCATCAAACATTATATTTTATTTATCAAATACTACTAATAATATTATTCAATTATTGTTAAAACATATTAATAAAAGCCATATTAAATTAGTTACATATTCGTTATTTTGTATTAATGAAATTATTAATAAACAAATTCTTTTTTTGTATAATTCTTCTTATTCTTCAAATTATTTTACTCCTTTACAAATCACAAAAAAACAAATTAATATTCTTAATTCATTATATCTACCAATTATTAGATATAAAACAATTATTACAAACCAAGTGACTAATCAAATTACATATTTATCTATAAATGGAATTCTTCCTAGATTTCTTCAAGTAATATCTCATATTCTTTATTTTGAATATATTTGTAATACTTCAAATTCAATACAAAAAGTTGATTTATCATCACTTGTATTATTACAATCATTAAAAATAATAAATATTAATGGAATTATTCATCAAACATCATTTGTATTACCAAAAAATCTTCTGTATCTTTCATTTACTAATTGTTTATACTCTTCTTCTCAATTAATTAATTTTTCAAATCTTCAGTCTTTAAGAAGTTTAACTCTTATAGAAAATAAATTAAGAAGTGTTTCACTCCCTAGACAAATTAAATATCTATTTTGTTTAAATAACCAATATCCAATTCTAATCACAAATAAAAAAAGTTTAAAATATTTCAATTAATTTATTTTCTTAAGAACAATGTTTTATTTCTCTATCATTTTATTATTATTAATTATTTCTTTGAATCAACATAAATCATTTGGAGTTATTTAAAATAAATAATAACATTTTT